CCACCTGCATTAATGATCTCAGCTGGACTCCTGCGTGACCTGCTGCAGCCTCTGCATCAGCACTTGCTGCCTCACCTGCACTTTTCTGTCATGGAGACGGTTTTGTTCCTCAAGCCTCATGAACCAGCCTCTGCCAGCGTCTGGTTTTCTTCTGTGGTTTCCTCACTTCTCTGAGCCTTCACACTATTGGAGGGAGTTAGGGCCTTGCCCTGGGTGAGGCTTTGGCTTCAGGGAATATGTGGCCAGCTTGATCTACACAGACCACGCTCATGTCCTGCAGATCAGCGATAAGGCTGCTCTCCTATCATTTGTGTGGTCGCCGAGGAGCACTCTCGGCATCCCTCAAGGACTTTTCCTTTGCATGCACAACCTGGTGAACTGTTTGGTGCCGGAGGCCCAGCTTCCAGCCCGTCTTGGCTTCTGAGATGCCTCCTCCTCACTCAGCTTGATCATTTCTGGCTTTTGATTTAACGTGAGAGACGTGTGACTCCTCCTTTCACTGGAGACACTGAGAGGCCTCTGCAGGGTTATTGACTGGCCCAGTTTCAGTATTGCTGTGTAGGGAGGAGGGAGGCCTGAGGAGAGGGACAGAGATGGGAATGGCTGGTGGGTGGAGCAATCAGAACACACGCATTTATCGATTAAGTTCTCCGTCTTAGGTGCGTGTGGATCTGGTGACATCAACAGTCGCTGGTCACAGTACCAGAGCAAATGTGATGTGACACAGAGACGCAGAATGAACAAATGCTTTTGGAAAAATGGTGCCAATACGCTTGCTGGATGTGGGGTTGCCACAAACCTTATCTTTGTGAAAGACACAGTATCTGCAAATGGAGCTCAGGGAAGCGAAGCTTAGTGAGACAGGGAGTGCGTGTGTTGCAAAGTGATCGCCACAATGTGTCTAGTTACCATCCTTCTCCATACATAGTTACAGAAAAGCGGTCTTTCTTATATAAGAACTTTTGAGATGTACTCTATTTACAACTTTCACATACGTAATACAGTATTATTACCTGTGGTCACCATGCTGTATATTACCTCCCCATGATTGACTTACTTGATAACTGGGAGTTAGTATCTTTTGATTCCCATTTTATTGGTTATTAGCTTAATTCTGTTGTAATCAGAAAAAACATACTTTATATGATTTAATTTTTAAAAATTTGTTGACATTTGTTTTATGGCCAGTCTTGGTTAATATCCCATGTTCATTTGAAAGCATCTGATTCTGCATTGGGAAGAGTTTAGTGTGGTTCATAGGTCACATTGGTTGGTTGTGATGTTCACATTTTCTGTATCCTTTCTGATGTTTTTATCTAGTTCAGTTAGAGAGAGGAGTTTTGAAATTTACAAAAGTAATTGTAGATTTGTATATGTCTCCTTTTAATTCCTGCTTCATGTATTTTGAGTTCCCTTACTGGAGTGCTTACCGTAACATTTTACATCGTTAACTGCTTCTAATTGAATCAGTCCCATATGTTTTCATCATCATGTCCTTCATTTGCTGCTGAGACACCTTGTTCTGCAGCCGACTTTCTCTGCTATTAAGAGAGCCACTCAGCCGTTTTTGGTTAGTGTTTGCATGGAATGTGTCTCCCAGCCTTTGTTTTTTATCTTTATTTTTTCCTACTCTTTCTTCTTTTTATTTTATTTTATTGTATTATTTTTATTTTGGTACCATTAATGTACAATTACATGAGCAACATTGTGGTTACTAGACTCCCCCCATTACCAAGTCCCTACCACATACCCCATTACAGTCACTGTCCATCAGCGTAGTAAGATGCTATAGAATCATTTGTCTTCCTGTGCTGAACTGCCTTCCCTGTGCCCGCCCCCTCATTATGTGTGCTAATTCTAATGCCCTTTAATCCCCTTATCCCTCCCTTCCCACCCACCCTCCCTAGTCCTTGGAAGTTCTTCCCTCCCCAGTCCTTCAATTCCTTCAGTTTTTGCTTTGTTCTTATACTCCACAGATGAGTGAAATCATTTGGTATTTGTCTTTCTCCACCTGGCTTTTTTCACTGAGCATAATACCCTCTAGCTCCTTCCATGTTGTTACAAATGGTAGGATTTGTTTTCTTCTTATGACTGAATAATATTCCATTTTATTCAGTCAGAAATTGATCATTTCTGGCTTTTGATTTAACGTGAGAGACGTGTGGCTCCTCCTTTCACTGGGACACTGAGAGGCCACGTCTTCTTTATCCATTCATCTACTGATGGACACTTAGGTTGCTTCCATTTCTTGGCTATTGTAAATAGTGCTGCGATAAACATAGGGGTGCATCTGTCTTTTTCAAACTGGGCTGCTGCATTCTTAAGGTAAATTCCTAGGAGTGGAATTCCTGGGTCAAATGGTATTTCTATTTTTAGTTCTTTGAGGAACCTCCATACTGCTTTCCACAGTGGTTGGACTATTTTACATTCCCACCAGCAGTGTAGGAGGGTTCCCCTTTCTCCACATCCTCACCAGCATTTGTTGTTCTTAATCTTTTTAATGCTGGCCATCCTAACCTGTGTGAGCTGATAGCTC